GAAGCACTAAGCAAAACTTAAAGGGTGAGCAGTACATGTAAATTAGATGGGATGACAAACCACATCTGGAGGTGGTATGTTAGATGAAAATCTATTTGCCAGGAGGCATATTAGATTGGGATTGACTATAGTTTGAAGACATGTAAAACCATTTTACAGTGACACAAAGTCCAAATAATGCTAGTTTTGAGGAATGGGTTCACTTTGTTGAGTGTTGAAGATTATAATGGTACTGTACTTATGATGAAGGGTGGCCCAATTCTCAATGATTTCACTGCTCATTCAAATACAGTATATTGAGACAAATTTTGATCTGCATGTTCCCTGCAATTTTAGAAATATGTTGTCTGGAAGATGTACTTGATGAGAGCTGCTGCCCAGCCACTAGGTTGTTGAAATCACTGTTTGTGTCAGGTGTTGCTAAATATATAGTTCCTCAATTTTTGGCCACCCTGGTTTGCTTTTACTGTCTGTGCATTGGTCATTCACTTTCTGAGTTCAGTATTAGAAATTAGGAAAGGATGGTCAAACATCCTTTTGGAACTTACTGTTTTGTTGGTGTTGCTTGTGCATCTCGCTTAAAAATACACTTGCAGTAGGAGTAAGTTATTTTTAGCTATTCACCATGACAGTGACAACAAAATATCTTCCAGTTTTCTTCTAAGATCACTGAAATAAATTCATACACACAACAAAAGACATTTTGAGGAATACAGAGTTCATTTCCCTCATATGTCAATTTTAGAATAACCAATTACAACAGGACTTGATGAATGCATGGTTTTAGACTTGTCTTCTCTTCATCACTTGACACATGAAAAGTTTTGAACTTGAAAATAATTAAACATGAATGTATAGAAGATTCTGCTACACATTGGTGTTTACAGGAGACAAGACACATCATAGCAGCCATCATCCAACATGTGACCTACAATGAATTCCTTCCAATGGTGCTTGGTGAAGATATGATGAAGATCTATGGGCTACTCTTGGAGAAAGAGGTTTGATGAGAGGGATAATGATGATGATGTGTTGATGACTGACTATCAATGAATCAAAACAGGGTTACTTTGAATCTTATGACCCAACTGTGGATCCATCATCTTCTTCAGCATTCATCACTGCTGCATTTCGCTTTGGTCACTCCATGGTGCCATCAACCATTGAGAGGTGGTCTCCAAAGCACAGATTCATTGGTGAGGAGTTTTCCAAATATGTTCTCAAACTAATTTATTAAATTGAGAAGAAATCATTTATTTATTGATGAAGCTATTACTTTATCAAGCCAGGGAAATTTCTAAAGGTTCCATTGTAATTTGTCTGAATTATCACAATGCAGTAAATTCTCATCACAACAAACTTTTGGGTGTAAACAAAAATTTTTGCCAGATTGTGAACAAAAATACAGTACTTCACTTTGTTTCAAAATGATTTTAAAAATTAAAATGACTGGAAAAATTTGTTCACATCAGACCTGCCTTCAATCAATTAAATCTTACTTTTCTGGCATTTTCAGATTTATTTTACTGCATTGTTTGAAAAACTGAAAAATTTTGTTTTTTTTAAATGGCTCTTTTTCATTTGAAAAAAGAGAGACAAGAAAAATGTAAACTAAACTTTTTTCTCAAGATCAGCAAATTGTAGCATTGGGTTTAAACCTTGAATGAGTTGCTAGGAAAATAAATGCTTCATCATTTTTGAAAATTTGGCTTTTTCAGGCGCCCAAAGGTTAAGTGAGCTTCTGAGGCAACCATTTGACCTTTTCAAGGGTGGCTGGAGTGACCAGTACATGTCTGGACTGGTGAATCAGGTTTCACAGGGCATGGATGAAGCCATGTCACAGGAGGTTTGTCTCACTAATTCAAAGTCTCATGAAATATGAAGATTTTGAAGATATGGAGAGTGTATGACTCAATTTCTGATGCATTGCATCAACTTTTGATTCACCAATTAGCTCTGATGATTCTTCAATAAGACATTGAAAATTGGTGCAGCTTTTCAATCCTTTGAATTTGACCTTTTCAGGTGACGAACCATTTATTTCAAGATCCCATGGCTGAATTTGGATTAGATTTGGCAGCTTTGAACATCCAGAGAGGCAGGGACCATGGACTGCCATCTTACAATGATTTCCGCCAAGTTTGTGGCATGCCAAGAGTTGCATCATTCCCACACCTCAGGAGGCTCATGCCGAATGCAACTGCACAACGTTTTGGCGACATCTATGCGTGAGTCTTAGAAGTTGATATAGAAAAATGATACTTTTCGCAGATAGGTGTCGTTCACAATCAACGTCCCCGCCCAGCTCAACATGCGTTCCTAAGTTTGCAGAAATCATTCTTTCACGAATTTTCCCATCATTCTAGTTCTAAAGGGATGTAAAATTTTCTTTCTCCCTTGGTTGAACCCAGGTCTGTGGATGACTTTGACTTGTGGTCTGGGGGACTGGGAGAGAACCCACTACCTGGTAGTATGGTGGGTCCTGTGTTTGCCTGCCTCATTGCCCTGCAGTTCAGGGATCTGCGATTTGGGGACAGATTTTGGTATGAGAATGGCAACCAACTCAGTTCATTCACTCCAGGCAAGTTCATTCCATCATCATGTCAAGAGGAAATGAGAGAATTCAGTGACTTTTCATTGCATTTTCTTCCGGTGATGTAGACCAACTCCAGGAGATCAGGAAGGTGTCTCTCTCACGAATTGTATGTGACAATTCTGATAATATCAAGGAGGTGCAGATGTATTCCATGGTTCTCCCGGACCCTGATATGTGAGTGTAGTTGATTTTCCTCCTTGGAAGCTAATATGGTGCACTAAATAAGGCACTCTCCTTTCGAAAAGTTGGACAAGTTGATACAATCTTGAATTTTTGTTTTCAATTCACTTTGTAATACAGGTTGACTCACTATTCAACAAAATTCAAGGGACTAGAAACATTTGCTGTAGTGAGAATTTCACAGTAGAGAACCCCATGGGACCAAATGAACATTTCTGATGAGCATTGCATATTTGCATGAGTACATGAACATGATGCATACTGAAATTGTTGGTTGCAATATTCAAAACTGTAGATCTCTCAAAAAATGCAACACACAATTCTTCAATTTTTTTCCATCAGAAACCCAAGGGTGCCCTGCAGAAGTTCTGTCCTGCCAAGAATGGATTTGACCAAGTGGAAAGACATTAGATCTCAACTGAAACCACTTGGAACTCCTGGGAAATGAACTTTCCAAGAAATTGGATACAAACAGAAGTAAAAACATCTGACTGCAGTACTGCAATGAGAGAGAAAAACTGAAATATGATTGCATTTTTGGATCACTTAGAAGCAGTTTTGACGTGGTATGGGAGGATGTTAACATTCCATGAATCTCCATCATCCAAGACATTCTTGGGTTTTGTTAACTGTTGTTGTATTTACAAAATGTTTTACTGCTACTTTGATGAAGAAATGCAGGGAAAATCACATGTGGTCATCTGCATCAATTGTTGAAGAATGTAAATTAATGAAGGTGATGATTCAGATACTTCGTTACTCGTCATTCAAGAACAAAATTACTGTTATTGTTCTGGTTCTCACATTTTCCCTCAATTTGAAAATTATATCTGGCATCCCAAGGGAACAAGTGAGAAAAAAAATAACCACAGCTTTTTCTCTTGAAGCACAGCAATAAACTTTTATTCCAAAAAAACCGGTACGCGAGTATGGTAATCCCATACTGCAACAAACTTGTTGATCGCAAGGGACCTTCCAAAATTGACCCACAAAAAACGAGCCCTGCTGAATTCCACTCAAATCTGCACCATATTCACTCATACCAGAAAAACCTCGCGCGAAAAAAGAAACTTCTCGTCACAGAATTTTTCTCAACAGGACAGAATATAAAATAGAACGAAAAAGGTACAGTGGTGCCTGGGTAAAGGGACTTTTCCCGGGTGTTGGAAGTCCATTCTTCAAAACTTCATCCCGACGAAGCTACGAACAGAAAACGTCTCCACTACGATCCTTCGCACGATTTCTTCAGCGATTAAATAAATACGTTATTCTTATCGTGAAATGGATGTGAAAAAGCACTCGGAAACCAGATTTAAAACGAAGAACCACCGCATCGAAGGGAACAAGAAACAAAAACGAATAACGCATCTGGAGCAGCGACTGAACTAATTAACCCTCGCATTCCGTTTATTATTCGACACACCAATGCGCGGGGGAGGAGGAGGAATGACAGAAGAAGAAGGAATCATACTTGTGTACTGAAAGAATGAAGCAAAACCGGGATTGTCGGCGTAGCTTTTCCATCACTCTCGCCTTCGAAAAAAGGAACAATACGCAATCGAGTAACTCAATTATCTCTCACACGCCACACACGTCCTCGCGCCAAGAAATCTGCGCATCAACTGATGGTATAAAATGGCTGCGCGCTGTGCGTGTGAGCGTGAAAGAAGGTAGAAGGGAGACATGGGAAGCCTAATTCACATCCCTGTCCTTCTGGTCTCCGCGCGCGTGTGGGTGTCTCGCTCGGAGCCACGGTTCTTGTCCGTCCGTCTGTCCGTCTCGCTCTCTCTCTCTCTCACATGGGATGCATGGCAGAGGCATGGTCCACTGCAGGTGGTGGTGGGGAGTTGCTATGCTTGACAGTAACAACGGCAGCTGCGGCAGCGGCTGTGCTTAGGATCTTCAGGCTGTGTTCGTGTGCCTTGGCCCTTAGCGCTGCGATGCTGTGGTTGCGGAAGCTGGCCTCTTCTTCTTCATCATCCAGGTCCTCATCCTCTCCTACTTCTTCTCTCTGGGCAAACACAAAAGTTCCATTCAAAGTATAGTTTTCTACTGAATAAATACTGTGCTTGTTTCTGAATGTGTGTGTGTTTTTTTTTTTCTTTACCTGATGACGAGAGTTGCACGCGCTGGAGCTGGCCGAGTAGTTGATCACGGTGGGTTCGTTGTCGCGGCGGAGGCGCATGTCCGCGGACTTGTCCTCTTGTTCAGAGATGTCGCCCGCATCCGCGTCTGTGTCGTCATCCGCGTTCAGCTGCTGAGCGGCCTCTATGGACTTGCGGTGCATTCCCAGGAGCCAGGGGGCCACGGTTTCGTTTTGCTTGGCACTCTTGAGAATGGTGTCTGGCAACGGGAGCGAGTGGCGCACCATGGCACCGTACAGGCCGTACTCGGCCATGATGGTGCTCTTGCCCCAGCACTTTTCCGTCTTGCGCCACTTGGCGCGTCTGTTCTGGAACCACACCTATTTGATTTAAAAAAATAAAAAAATGAACAAATTGAGGGATTGGTTCTGTCATGAGTTTTAATATATTTTTATGTAAAAAAAAAGGTGCCAGGACACAATCAATAACATATTTTCATAATTATTTTTCTCTCCTAATAACAAATTGTTAAGCTTGAAATTACAGCTTGAAAGTATTATTCCCTATAATGAAGCTGCAGCTCAGCAGATCTCAAGAAAACCAGCACCATTCATTTGAAATTGCTTCCACATGATGAATTGCTGATCAAGTGAGCAGATTTTCATATTTTTTCTCTGCCAATAACACATTGATAAGCCTGAATTTACACCTTGAAAGTATTATTTCCTAATGAAGCTGCAGTTAAGCAAATAAAAAAAAAGAACCATTCAATTGAAATTTTTTCCACATGATGCTGATCAATTGCGGATCAAGTGAACAAAAGTTGATCTTCCATCATGCAACCTTGATTACAATTTGTTGAATGATGCTCATGTGATGATCATACATATGTGTATTGAGCATCTACCACTTGAAATCAAATTTCAAAAAAAGAGACAATGTCCAGGAGCATTTCAGATCAAGTGAGGCAGAAAGCATTTCCCCTTACACATATCTGTTGAGTGGTAATCTGTCAACCGGAATTTGACAGCGGTTCTTTCACAGGGGACTCGGTTCACGCTTAATTAAGTCCAGTAAAAAAAAAAGGAGAGATAAAATATATAAAAAAGACATGTGGGGGGTTAAAGGAATGTGTCACAGGCGAGTGGAGACGCATCATCGATGTTCATTTGATGCGATTATGTGCGTCATCATTCATGGACTGGAAACAAGGCATCAGGTGAGATGCAGTGTACGGAAAGTGAACGTGTCCGGTCGCGGACAAAGTTAGTGAATAAGGCTTCCCCGCCTTTATTGTGAAGAGGTCAAAATCACTTTAAAATCAGTTTTAAATGCACCAAATCGTTAACTAGATCGAAAATCCGCTATAATGAATGTTCTTTGATGGATTTTTTCTGGAATAAGAGACTAATTTCACCAAAATTGAGATTTTTCTTGGACAAAAAAATTAAGTTTCTCAACAGAGCAGCACATATCTTGTGGCAAAAATTGAGTTGAAAATGATACTAGTGAAGCTGAACTTGCTAATTGACATGAGTATGACCTAAACTGCAAAAAAGTTTTTTTTTGCACTGAGGAATTAAATTCAATTTAAAAATAATAACTGGGCTTATTCATGATCAAATGTACTGAAACTGGGTGGTAACGCAGTACAACTACAGTAAAACCAATGTATTGGGATGTGGAAAAAACATTAGTTATTCTGTCACACTTCTTCAAGTTATACTCTAAAACACCTTCAAAAAATTCTGCTTTTTTTCAGTGTTGAAGTCAATGAAACTATAATTTTTGCTGGGAAAAGGATATCACCATTGGTGATGTTCTGGGCCTTAAACTTCTTTGTAAATGCTTTGACAAGATGCTGAACTTGGAGGCAAGAGGGATCATTTGCCCAATTTTGACATCAGTTTCATGAGGAAATCATCAAATTACATTTTCATGCTTTTTTCCTTCTTTCCTGAGTCCCCAGAATAATAGCACGAATGCCTCCAGAATTTCAAGTTACATATTTTTTTTATAGAGAAAGAGCCAGTCAAGTACATCATACATTGCCCTCATTGTAATTCAGACAATGGCTGATCAAAAATGCAACTTACATAAGTAAAACTGTATCCATCATATCAAATCATAACAAGCTTTTTCTGAAGTCCCCAGCACATGATTCACTGTATACCATTTCTATACTGACATAGTGGCAAGGAATAATTTATCAAAACAAGGTTTGTCTTGATCGGATTTCTCTTCAGTTTGCAATTTCAGTGGTTTAGTTTTTCTTTTGCAGACATCATCATCATCCCTTCATGTTGATGACCAGCATTCCAGGTTTTGCTGATGATGCTGGACAGCCTGCACAGGCAGGACACCTCATCATAGTGATGTGAACAGGGGTTGAACACACAATATGACCCCCTCTCTCTCTCTCTGATGGTGGGATATGCTGTCTGTATTCACATGGGTTCCCTGGTTGTGCTGCAGGATGTGCCCACAGTTGTCACACTGCTGGCTTCCTGATTTGATTAGGACCCGTTTCTCCTGGTCAGTCTGTGGTGATTCAATTACACTCGCATTTCCCAGCCAGCCATGGGGGTGGAAAAGGGGGGGGGGGGTAAAACTTTCCTGCCCTGGGTTGTCATGATTTCCACGCATTCACTTCCGGATTGTGGGGGTAACTGGATAACCCAGATGAACCCTGGCGTGTTTTGAGGGGGAGGGGGGGGGGGGGGGTATCATGTTGTCGCCTGATGATGCTTGGACAAACTGGCCATTTCAGCAACTTTGTTGCCAGGTTATATATAGAAGGT